AAAGTAAACGGTAACTAAAAAAGCAGTATATGTATGCATAGTTTTCAAATACCCATACATGTACAGTATGGTCAGAAAGTCTAAGGCTTCTATTGTGCATTTTCTTTCACCGCATATTATACTGTCATCATAACCATTTGACAAATTAACATGAATTTCATAATATCTTAGTATTTGGTTTATTCCCCTTTTGCTTTAATGTCAGCAGCACTTGAGCTGCATGAACTCCACAAGTAACTAATATAGTAAAAAGTAAAAAACAGATATAGTAAAACATATCTGTTCAAATGAGTTAAAATATCACAAATATTTGATTAGTGAGCCAGAAATACTACAAATTAGTTAGTAGACTTTTAGAATTTTTCTTCTAGATTGATTATATCACTTAATTTTACCTTTGATATGGTTGAAATTTTTCTGAGCAAAAAATAATACATATTGATAATACATAATTTTTACCATGATTTCCAGAAGACACCCACTAAAACGTCATTCAATGTAGAGTTTATATACAAAAAAAAAAAATTCTTGTCAGACATATTTAGAACCAGAATCATTAGATGACATTAAGACTCTATTTAAGGATCACAGTGCAGACCCCAAGAACTAATTCATTGTAATTTTTTACTGTTTACCACTTTGCCTCTATCCTTCAAACCACTAGGTTTTACACATTTGTCAGACGTTTTTTAATAATAAAATATAATACTATTTTCTATGATCACTTTTTCTTTTATATATTTTAATAAGTACAGGTCATAATAAGTAGGCTGTTGTTTCATTTTTGCATAAATATAGCTGTTACACTGAATGATGATGGAAAAATTATTTCATTCATATTTTTTAATTTTATTTTCACAAAAGTTTTTTGAAACAATAAAACAGACATTTACTTGCATTTAATATGCTTTATAAGCACTTTTGTCAATTTAATTTGACACAGACACCAAAATGGGACGTCTCGTCCCATATACATACCATTTGGAAACAGTAAGAGTGATTGACTGATTTTTCATATATTTATTTATTTGTTTATTTTAAAGATGCTCACCAAGGCAATAAATAAGGTGTAATGTATTCCTGTGACGGCAAATCTGAATTTTCAGCAGCCTTTACCTCAGTCTGTCACTGCTGAAAGCTGTTTTTCAGAATTCTCTGATGAACAGAAAGTTCAAAAGAACAGCATTTATTTGAAATGGCAATCTTTTCTAACATTATAAATGTATATATTTATAGTCTCTGTGTGTGTCTGTGTTTATTCACTGGAGTATAAAATTGTGACAACCAGCCTCAGTCTCTTATATAAACAGTATATACATACACACACACACACACACACACACACACACACACACACTCAAAGGCGAGAACAGCAGAAATGAGAAACAGAATTAAGTGCTCTGTGTGAGTGTGTGTTATTTGTGGCACGTTTTAATGGCAACACAAGGCGATCAATGAACCCATAGAGGAACGAAGGCTTCCTTATTTCTCCAAATTGCCTGTGCTAGCAGCACAACCTTGATAACACTCAATTGATTATTAATGCATTATTAATCCAGAGCCAGTTCACAGAGACAGCTGGAGGCACTCATGCACACACACAGACACACACACGTACAACACATTGATGAAGCGGCTCCGTGCCCGGGGCCAAAACGTGTCCAATGGAACACTGAGTACATCACATCAATTCACAGCAGCAGAACCAGGCAAATTAAACACAGGAAATACAGCGGCCACCAAATACACCTGGACAAGCAAACGCTGCACGCTCCCCTGCTCTCTGGGCCTGGCACGGGCCCCACAGAGCAGCAGAGGGTGCAGTGGTGTCGGACTGGAAGGGCAGTAGCTGGACAGACCCCCGCTACTTCCCCCCATCCCCAGACCTCAGGCCCATCATATCCACACCAGGTTTACTGCCACATGTGTCGCTCCATCCACCACACACTCTGACAACTCATACACATCCACAATGACCCATTTATGGGCTGAGTCTAACTTCACATGGCACTTCCATTCTAACTTACAGGTATT